GCTCATGTATTTTCAGTAAAATACTTTTCTGAACATAGGCAGAGGTCTGCGTTCTATTCTGTCTGAATTCTTACCCTGTGGTATAGGGAAAAGTATTTCCTAGACTATAATAACTGGAAAATAGTACTCAGAAATAAAATTAAGCAACAAACAAACATCAAAAGCAACAACTACAACAACAAATGGAAGCCAGGAACAAAGGAATAATGCAGCTCTCAGCCACATGAAAGCTCTTGCACAGTTCTGCAAAGAGGAAAGAAAGCAAAATTCATTACCAGAGGCTCACTGTACCACGACTCAGGGCAGTTTGTAATGACATCACTGATGAAAGGAGAAAAGAGGACATAGTGGCACAACTGGTTGCATTTGGTAACAAAGAAGAGTAATGTTTCAAACTGGAAAGTACAATTCCAGACAGGAATACACGGCAACTCTGACTCATACCCTCAAAGACTGTCCCAAAGGTTTAGTTATTGTTTCTTTTTTCTTATGACCTATTTAGCCAATCTGTATATTCATTTTCTCCTAACCTGACAAGTCTGGAACTGAACTGCTGAAGCCTCAGAAGTTACAGGTGATGCTTTACCAAGTGCAGACCACGTAAACTGAAGTGCTTGCTGTCCAGCACCTAATAAATTAAAGTACTCTTTGTAGGCCATTCTAGTTGAGGCTTGATACTTTTTTCCTGTCTCAGCTGGCTGTTTGTCAGTGTACCAATAGGTGGCAGTCATAGACGATCCTGCACAAATTTCTGCTTCATAAAAGAAATTTAGGAAGGAAAAAAAAAAGCCTATTTTAAGGTAAAGTTGCTCTTTTTGTGCGTTCACAAATGTAGGTGGTGAAAATCTACTTCATGCCTCATACGTACATCTTCCTATAGCAGACAGAGAAGTTCTTCCCATAACAGTACTGGTATTTTTTGATGTACTTAATTAAATCGTGTCATAACCCTGAAACAAATTAGATGCAAATATGTAGTGTGTATTTCAAATATCACTTTCCCCAAAGATTGAATACGCAGATGCCTTTAACATTTCATACAGCACTCTTGTAATTTTGCCTGCTGTTTTTCATATTTCATAGTACTATGTAAGACAGTGTAATGTCTTAAACTCATTATTATTGCTTTTCAATACAAGAAACCTCTATTTCTAAGGAACTCACCCTTCCCCCACATCTCCTTTAGTCTCTCTGAAGAAAGAAATCCAGCAACCCCAAAGATTAGCCATAACCATGGCATTTTCTAGGATAGATGGATACAGATTTTTATATAGGAAAGCTGATATTTCAGGTCTTTCCAGAGTCCATTTTTTGTTATTCCTTTCATAAAAGAAATTCAACTCAATAAACAATTACTGCATTAATCTTCCTGACCGTTCTTTCCTTCTGCTACGGTTAATGGCATTGCTGTAAATCTCTGCAATAAAATGTCATTATCTCATCATACCCTGGTATATATCCTGAACAAAGGTTCTTTGTTACCATGCCTCTCAGAACCTCCTGGTAACAGCTCCTGCATTTACCTTTGCATCACTGACAGCAAAGTTCATATTTATTTTAATTGGTAGCGCAACATAGAATAACTTAAATTTACCTCCATTTGTTCATCTACCTTCTCCATAACTTCATGGAGACAAGCTTAAAAATCCTACCTGTTATTGGTAGCCCAGCAGCCTCCTGCTAATTTAATGCACGATGAAGAAAACAAAGAAGAGGAAATTGATATACAGTAGAGTAGCTGTAACAATCAGAGAGACTGATATGATGGAAAGGTGATACAAGACATGTAACGACTGAGGGACTAACAATAGAAAGGTGCTAAAAAGGAAGGAAAAGAAGGACTGCTCACCCATCTCCAAGGCATGTAGGCCCACAGAAAAAAACTTCACAAAACTGAGAACTCCAATCAGACATCAGTCAGCCCTTAAATGAGGTCTAAGATATGTGCAGCTGAGCTCCACCCTTGCCAGTCACACAGCTGAATTGCCTTCACCTGTGCTCCCAGGGCTGACCGGTCCTTTCCCCAGGTGCTCAATCTGTGGTTCAGGCTGTAATTCAACAGTTACCATACAGTAGGAAATAATTTCAATATCAAAATGATTACATTTTAAGTTCAACATAAAACAAGGAGATTGATCTAAAGAATGCAAACCATCCAGCCCTACATATGATATTGATACACTATAGTTTGCTACTAATCTACGACTGGGAAGTCTTATTTCATCGCAGCACAAACACAAGGAAGAAAGAATATGAAGAAATCTTACTAACATTGAAATTTCTTCACTCCAACTCCTGTTCCAAGTTTCTCATTACATGAGATGACAGCTGCAACTCACACTGTTAACAGTGAACATGTGTTGTTCTCTGGGCCTGAAATACACAGTAATATGTCTACTGGCATATGAAATAAAGCTCTGAGAGATGAGTGCTACACTAGAAGGGTAAATGGCCTGGTCTTATTCTCACCGAAGGTAGTGGGAACCAAATCAGATAGTTTGATGAGAATAAAACTCGTCGCTTCTGCCTTTAAAAAACCTTTCTGCTGGACAAAGCCGTATTCTGGAGGGGTGTTTTTTATTGTTTTTTGAAAACATGTTGTACTTCATGAAGTGATGTGCACCTATTTTTAGAAAAATCTTCAAGAAATTCTAGGTATATTTTTGTAGAGTTTGAGATAAAGTGCTTGAGCATATTTGAAACTCAAATATCAATAGCAGATTAGCTAAATCAAACGCCAAAGCAGCAAAAAATACAATAACGACAAGAACATTTTATGGTTTGCAGAGTAGGAAGAAAATACATTTTTCTAAAGATTGACTTTTGGACCAAGTTGGCATTAAAAAAACCCCAACAGATGATGTCCTTTTCATTAGTGGGACAGTATTTTGATCCTAAATGATCCAAAGATGTTGAAATTATTTTGAACTTCTCATCCTCCAGGTTTCTTTTTTACCAGTTCTCCTCCCAGCAGTTCACCAGTAGTATATATTTATTCAAGGAATAAAGGTGCAGTGATAGTGGAGAAGGCTGTCCTGTTCTCCAATGAAGTGTTATGCTTACACAGTTGAACTTCTTCAGGTACATTATAGATATCAGCTATAATAAATATGCAATTTACAGTATTCAGAGTGTTTCCTTCCTTAACAGGAGAAGCATAAAGCCACCTTAAGAGAGAATTTTTATCTCAAGAACTGATGAAAGAAACCACAAACATAGGAAGCCAGCTATTAAGCTTGTGAGAGATACAGTGTGTTCACAACCACTCAAGAAAAGCTTTCTTTCTTTTCTTTTTGCAGAAAAATCTTACGTACAAACCAATCCATCACCTTTTCTGGGTGACATTGAGTTTTTGCAGATACAGCTCTTAAAATGAGTAATGTTCAAAGCTATCACAAAATGTTTCAATCTCAAGACTCCAGATGTTAATTGGAAGAGGAAAGCAAGCTATTTGCACTACTGTAATAAGCTGCAGCGATTTTGTTATGTTAGACGGGAGTGTTAATGATGAGACACAAATGCAAGTTTTTACAAAGCCTCTGAGAATTAAGCAGTATGTCCTATATTCCTCTTCCTTGCTGTTCCAGTGAAAACCATACATGTGGAAGAACAAATGAAAATGTTGTCATGGTGATCAGAGCAGATACCGAGCCACTTACTGTGTAGGAAGGATTCCCTAAAGAACCTTATTAAGCATTTTGTTGCTCCTTTTTAACAAATGTTTTCAGAAAGCTATTTTTATTTCACTGCTGAAGTAAGCCAAAGCCTGTTTCTCTACCCTCCAAAATAAAGCAGAGCATGACAAGCATCAATAAATATTGTTAAAAGTTAGGAATGGGAGCCAAGACAGAGCCTAAATAAAAAGACCTACTCGTGATGTTTGAATGTTTTTCAGAATAATCACTGTGAAACAGCTCTGTGCTAACCAGACTGTCCATGTCCTCAGTTGGCAAATGAATAAACAAATCTTTAAATGAAAGGCACCATGAAACTCTGTTGGTTACAAGGAATATGATTTTTTATGATAATGCTACCGTAATATGCTAAAATGTTATTTTTCAAGAATATTTCATGAATAAATATGTAGGTGTGGTGTTTGATCTGGTGAAGGAGCTAGCCTGCAGCGGAACCCCATCCAAACCCATCTGTGTGCACTCTGGTACATAATGCAGGTGGCTGCATCATATTACTCAAGTTATTGGCAAAGAAAGCTAAGCCTGACCAATGAAGACATGTTATGTTTCTCCTGCACAAAACAGTACAACAGACATTGACAGAAAATGCTAAAAATACACTGAGAAGCAAGAACGTGCACTTTGGGCTAAATGCAAACTTCATTCACCAAACCACCAAATTTTTAGCATCTAAACTGAATATGTAAGTACCTCACAAGACTCGGCGCCTCATCTTGCAGGTACGTAGGGCACAGAAGGAATCCAAGTTTCTGTTCCATTATGGATGGCTGTTTGAAGCACTGACTTACTGAGTAATAGAATTTTCTAACAAAATTGTTTTCTGCCTCACTTGTGGGGCTGACTTCATATGCACTCATGGAGGGAAATTTCCACTATACATGTAGAAGTAGGTACCTCAGTTGAGCTTAATTCATATTCCTCCATACCTCATTCTTTTTCTTGAGTTGCACTTTAGACAAAGCCATAAGAAAAAACCTCTCAGAACCTCAGCAAATAACTTGCTGATAACTTTTCTCACAATGCCTGAAGTCTGTGGCTTCAAAACATACAAGCATAGTGCCTGTTGATGGCATGGTGGTCTTGATGAGTATTCTGGCATAACCTTATTTTACTATTGCCCTCCATACCCATAAATGGTGAAAGCATGTAGAGAGCTGCTTAGAAAATGTAATCCACCTTCCAGTACCAATCAGGGCAGAATTTACACCCTCCCCTGAGCCCCATAGGAAGACACGATACATTACACATCTTTTCACGTTCTAAAATAATTTAAATCATCATCATTCAAAATAGGATGCAACCAGCCATGTTTCCCCAAAGTTTTATTGATGCAGTCGTAGTATATAACCATACATCTTCATTTTACCTGTAGTTACAGTACTTCCTTATTCAGATTGTTTTTGTAGTCCAGTTTATTACAGCTTTCACAAAACATATTTATAAACATCACTTATTGTATAAGACTGACCGTCCCAAACATCGTAGATCACTGGCATTTTTTCCTTAATAGTGCCTCTCGTGGAAAGGTCACACTACTCTTTTTAGATAAAAATTTGTAAAGGCAGATGAATTAAATTCACCTTCTGAAGAAAATAAGATTGTTAAAAATAGCTTCATAGTTGGTATGACTCATTTAGGTCTCAGAAAAATCTATGACTGCCAAAGATATCTACAACTCGATACTGTTCTAGATACTTTCATTAAGAACCACGGAACGTTTATGAAAACTGAAATGAAATTTATGCACTGGTCTGAAAAATAAGGATTACCTTGATTTTTTTTTTAAGATTTTTATTTTTATTTTATGTATTTATTAACAGGAAATGCACTACCTTCTAAAAACACTGTCATCCTAGGTTAAATATTGATATCTGAGGAAGATATGCTAAATCCAAAAACATGCATCACTGATACCAAATTTTAACATACAATATTTTTACTTGAAAACCGACTCAAAGGATTGTGCAAAAGAGTTTCTTCTCCCTGAAGGGATTTTCAGATGCAGGCACTGGGATAATAAGGGGATCTTCTCCAATATGAGCATCACAGTATGCCAGTAAGTCTGCTGCAGCCTTGGATACCTACCAGAAGAAAAAAGAAGAACCACTGTAACACTTAAAGGCAGTGCATAAATATTCTTCATGTAACGTGCAGAATTGGACACTGTCTTCAAACAGTAAACTGCTTTACTCTTCATCTTATCGGACTCCACAGCTCTGAATTTGCTCTTATTATACCTAGTAAGCCTCATACACACTTCACCTAACCCAGTGACAGGGCATGGTATTGACTTATATGATTAATATTCAGCTTTTCATCTCCATCAGTAGGGAGGTCAGGAGAATATACGCACTGAAATATCCATCTGCTGATTGGTTGTAAGCAAAAGGGATCCTTCATGACAAATGTCTTTGTAGACACTGCCTTCTGAGGCCTTCTGCCTCAGTTCTTATTCCCAGGCATCAAAGCAGCAAAACTGCAAAGTTTTCTACAGACTCTCTCTATCCTTTCCACATCTGGATGTGGAGAAAAAGATCTTGAGGCATGTGAGCATGGAAATGGAACTAAGAAATGAAATATTAAATGGGGAATAAAAATAATAATTTGAATAATAGTTCTCATTTAAGTTAAATGAGATAATTCAGACTATTATCTTCTGTTTAGTAAACTATTTTAAGTAATGTTTCACTCATCACATTAAATTTGATCGTCACTTAAATATTCTTCTAAAATAAAAAACTGTAACATCTCCAAATTCTAAAATCTGGCTTATCCTTACTGTAAATAAGCTATACATTCCCTATAGGAATGTAACAGTGTTTTGATATTCAAGAAGTTTTGCAAGAAAGAAAGATGAAACTATTTGAGGTTTAGCTAAAATCTTCAAACTTTTCCAACTTTGTGACTTGAGAATACTGCCGTTCAATTGTTTGGGAGATTTTTCCCCTCAAGAACTTAGGACATACATACAGACATGAATTACTTCTGTTCAGTTCACAAGATATTTACAATTATCTGCATTTCTTTGCTTTGTTGAATTACTGCATTTTCAGTATTATGATAAGGAGAATGAGACAGTTTACAAAGTCTTTCCCCTGATCACCAGGACAGATTTTCCTTTGTCAAACACTGAAGTTAGCATCTTTGCACAAATATAGCAAAGAGGAAAAACAAATCTGATTTCAGATATGTTTATGACAGGTGTGTCATCACTGTTGGCTTTAGCATCCCCACGCTCTGCTTGCTTTGGCAAAAGTCCATCTTGTGGTAAGCTTTAGATTAGCTCTACAAAGTCAATGGATATCAAATCATGATTCACACAACAATTAAATTAACTGCCAGAAGATAAGATGTGACTTTCTATCTTTAAAATATCCACTAAATATGCCTTTGCAGAATGCTGAAACCCACAGATTTTGTATGATTGGCTTCCCAGCTGAAGAAGCAGGTGTGTTCAGGTTACTTAAAATTAGTTTGCTATGAATTAGTCTGCAAGACAAAAAGCTGGGCAGAGGTAGAGCTATAATGGCCAAAAGTGTGGGAATGTTGTATTCACAATTTTAAATTTACGTGTGAATTTTTAAACAGCAGGTTTTCCAAAGAGAAGCACAATGTAGACTGATTATTAAATTCGTATTGAGCTTCAAAAAACAGCAAAGATGTTTTTCTGTGCTAATGACTTACGCTGACCTCAAGAAAATATAAATGAGCATAAGAGAAATGTTTTACTCACGAAGCCAACAACTTCTTAAGCAGATTGATATAAGATGACCAACTTTCCCATAATTGTCATGATTGTTCCACATATGGATAAGCTGCAGCAGCCCAAGTATGTTGCTTTGTTTTTTTGAAGGTATAAATCCAGGGATATAATTTGCTAATTGTTTCTCTACATATTACTGTGCTTAGTCATCATACAGCAATGAAAAGGATGGTACTGAGGAACATTATCAGATTTCTGTACGTTATCACAAACTCAGCCTCCTAGCCTGCACTAGGCTGTATATTTTCATCCTTTAAGCAAGAAAAGGTGTGAGGAGAAATCCTCCCATGAGGATTACATTGGTTATGAAACTGAATTATAGCAATTTCTTCACTGAAGAACTGAAATGGCTCATGCTTGTGCAGTGGAAAAATGACCACTTAGTATGGAGAGTTAAATTAGATGATCACACTGCAGCAGCAGTGAACACGTTGCCAACAGTGCTCACAGCCACAGGAACCAAATTCAGAGCGGTGGCCAAAAAAATAAAGCGAAATAGTTTTGCCTCCAGTACACTTCCTGCTCAGTGTGATTATTCAGACCAATGGTGGCAGAAGACCTCTGCATTACGCATTATATTAAAGCTACAGCATAGATGGATAGCTTTTTTTAGCATGTGTCAGCATGCAGAGGTAGCCTACTGGCCAACACTCTGGTTTGTTACCGCACAAAATAATGTGCTACTCACCCTATTTCTGTCATAGAGGAAGTTAAATGAAGGCAAGGCCAGTCTACCATGGCTTCCACTCGCCTTTAGGGGAATACTGCCAGGCAGTTTCTGGTCAGCTTTTAGCAAGACTTAAAGTAAAAGCATCTAATTTGAATATTCAAACAAAACTGGCACACATTTATCATTTCAGTTCACCTGTGCAATAGTTTGCTCTGCAGATGAAAAGTGATTTTTACATACTGCAGAAGTGGCTAAAAAAAATATTAGACTCCAGCTTGATTGATGAATTCTAGCAAAAAGTCAGCATTTCATTTTTTAAAAACATCTAAAGCTGTATATGTGGAGGGGATGGAATGCATCAGTATCACATCAACCTCACATTTTATAAAAGTATATTTATTTTTTTTTAATGATAAATACGTCTGGTTGTCAAATTACCAAAAGAAAAAGTCAAACAAAACAAGACGAAAACACTCAACTCTGATGCTTCTGATGTTTTGAAGAATCAGTCTTAGGAGGATTGTGGAATTTTACATTACATTTTAGAATAACAGAGGTGATAAAAACAGCCAAAGCTAGAACATAATCCTGTTAGCTGCACTAATAATTACAAGCTTCAGTGACAGGGCAAAATGCTGCAATTACTATGTCATCTGTCTTGTCATAGGTTGTGACTAATTACCACCTTTGCTTAGACACCCACTCTGCTTATCCTCTACATCTAAAACAAAGAGATTCACACACGTATATTGCCAATCCCACCACATTTATCTCCCAACACTATTCAGGATCTGCTAGGAATATTTTCTATCTTCTTAAAGAAAAAAGAAAATGTAGTAATAGCTGATACACCACGATGCTTAATGTCAGACCACTCCTCCATGCTTTTCTGCTTTTGAAGGGAAGATTAAATAGTGCTTTATACTTGGGACAGCAGTGATAAAGCACCAATATTATCTTTGCTTTCTCAACTTTACAGCGTTGGCAGATGCATTACTCTACAATTCACGAGGCCGCTGTTCATCTGATTTCATTTCATGTTTTCTATCTCTGAATCTGCACCTCCTGCTTTCTATTTACTTTGTTATAATCCCAGCCATTCCTTCTGCAGAGAAGTAAGACAGGTTTGATTTACAATCCTTCAGGGATTTTTAAGGTCTACAGAAACCCACCACAGTAATACACCTTACTGCAACCAATCCACATGCCAATAACTTCATCTTCTCTTTTATAGCTGCCCTGCTCCTTTCACACTTCCACACTGAGTTGTTTTTGTTGAACCCCAAAATGCTGCATTGCTTGCTGCTCTGAATGGTTGCAGGACTTGATTATAAACTCATAACAAAACAAAACAAAAAAAAAAACAAACCCAAAAAAACAAAAAAAACCCCACACCTGGAATACAGTAGGGAATGGGTAACTATAAATGTATTTTAACTACAAAACTTTTATTGAGCAGACCTAATTGTTGCAACTGCTGTCCACAGAAAACAAAGTGCCTCTGTTGTAGAAAAATGAGCTGGAACATTTGATTTCCCTGGTCAACAACACAGGTACTTTGAAAAGTATCTTTTTAATGTTAACAATGTGGTCTTGTCTACTATGGGAATAACTACTTGGCTAATAACTTGCAAAAGAGAGTCTAAGTTATTTTGAAGGGGCTGATCTTTTGTTAAATGCCTAGCTAGTGTAAGTAGTTGCAAGAAGCCAGGAAAAATAACATTTCTCTAATTTTGCAGCTATGATCTGAAAATTCAGATCTCCTACTGGAGCCATTTGAAGCCTCTTGGCAAAATTTGCCAAGTACACACTTAATCATTTCAAAGATGAAAAGGAAAACAGATATTGAAATAAGGAAACCAACCTCTTTTCATAATCCCTCATGTACTTATTCAAAGGCGTTCTAGAAATCAAGACATCAGCCTTTTGTGGGTCATATTTAGTTTGTATTAGTATACCATAAGCATTAGTTATATTTTAGCTATACATTATGTTATCATATATTTCGGAATACTGAAACATGTCAACGTCTCTGGTGTCTTTTTTGGTCCCAAGCTGAAAGGTAAAATAATTACACTTGCAAGCCAGATGATTGTTAGGTCCTGCTAGTGCCTGTGTTCTTTTTAATTAAACTAACTGCAAAAAGTAACCTATGTAATTCTTACATATGTAATTAAGAATGTCATTATACATCTAACAAATGAAGCTATCTGCATAACTGAGCTAATGATTTCATACTTGAAAGTTATAGTTTGATTATATAAAAGCAAGTTCTAAATAATCTACTAAGGATCAACAATTCAAATTACAAGAAACTAGCCCACATTTTTCCAGCCCTTCCCTCTTCCACTCATTAACTTTCCTCCTTGTCAGTTCTGTTGTTCACACAGCTGCAACATGACCTGAATCTGGGACTGATTCAAATGAAAATTAACCTGCAAGGTTGTGCTGAAAAGGCAGAGCCATACTGAAGGAAGCAGAAATACCCATCTCTATGAGTGTACATCTATCTGAAATGAGTTTGTCAAGTTACTATACAAAATAGAAACTATAGCTATGCAAATTCAGCTGTCTCTGACAAGACAACACTAGCAGCCAAAACTGAAATTTATTTGTGACTGATTATTTGTGTCAGTTGTACTAATATTGCTGAGCCATAAATACCGTCTTTCTAATTAGTGAGTTTATGACCTGATACTGTGTTATTCCTCAACAAGAATTTTGATTTCAGGTGATCAGGTCTTTTTGGAGGGAGGTTATAACACAAATGAATTCAAATGAAACGAACTCAAGATATGAAAAATAAGCCTATGTTTACCTTCATCCTATCCATGTATGCTTCCATTTTTAATTGCTCCACAGCTTTCCTAGCTTGAGATATATTGGTTGTACTGTTTGACGTTAGTTCCTTCATTTTGTTTCCCTGGAGGAGGCAAAGTTGAGACAGTTTAGAAGTATAGCTAGCAAATACACCAATTAGGAAGAAGACAGTTATCAGAATCTAACCAACCCCACCCCACCATACTGACCATGCCAGGCTGTGGGTTACAAATACAAATCACATAGCATTTATACCTGTTCCCTTACTCAATAGTACCTGATTGCATCACGTATTTGCACCTTCAACTGCAAGCACTGTCTGAATCCTGCAAACAATATGAGATTACACTGCCAGTGTTCCAGTGCAGAAATTGTTACCCTGGTTCAGAGTGCCAGCACAGAACAGCTGTTCACAAACTGACTTTTCAGTCATTATGCAGTTTGGCTCCACACCCTGATTACACCTACTAACATGAGAAAAAGATCAGAAAAGTGCACAGTAATAATGAATGCCACACTGACCTCACTGAACTTTGGAAACAGGGGTATTTTAAGGTAGAGAAAGGGTCAATATTTTGTCTATGGAACTAAATAAATTAGAAATGAAATAATCGAGATTGAGAAGAAACAACACAGTGGTTTCCAAATTTTTCTTGGAGATCTCCAATGAAGTAAAAAGAAGAATAAAATATTATATAGCATACTGTACTGCATATGACCTGGTAAAGCCCAGGGTAAGCAAAAAATTTGACTCTGGTTCTTATCCCTTGCTTTTTAGTGTTTCCTTTGGAGATGAACAGATTGAGACAACATCCAAAGTTGTGCTCACACAGGAATTTCATAGTTCAGAGTTACTCATTAAGAAATACATAAGCATCAAGGCTAATTATCATGTACAGGGCTGGCAAGTCTTTTTTTCCCCCATCACCTTACAGCTCTCATTCTACCACCAGCACTAAATTACTATAAAACTGTATCACACAAGCACATTCTGCTCACCACCTCATGGTTACTGATATATGCTTTTGATGCAGCTCTTTATTTCAATTTATGAGTACTACTTCTCAGAGCCACTGTAATTTCATTAAATGAACTCATTCAGAAGAGTAGTCTAATGGGCTGGTACAGAAAAAAGCTTGACCTTAAATGCACTCGGAGTTGTAAAAAGAATTGACCAAAAGCAAAGAGATTGTTTGTGTAATTGTTAGCTGGTGTTTTTTCATTGTCAGCCTGATCATTTACAAATCTGGGAAATCACTACCATTTGTCTGAACAGAAACAAGTAGGACACACAAGGGATTAATATGGGCAAGCATACACATCTGCTCTGATGAAGGGACAGGAACCCTAGTTCTGCACCTCTTCCCATCCTCAGCCTCCCACTTCTCTGTTTCACATCAAGTTTGCCATTTACTCCAAGCATTTCTAATATACTCTTACTGCTTCTCTTAGGGAGCAGCTGCAAAGTGTGCTCAAGAAAGCATTCCTGTATGTGGATGTAACTGCTGCCCATGAGGGCAAGGCAGATGGTCCATGCCTGGTTCAAGGAACCGGTACAGTAAGGAGTGATATCCATAGGGATTTCAATTAAGCATCTGATAGCTGTGCTTACCATTCTTAAGAGCTGTTAGTAGATTAATCTGAAGGAAGTGAAGTACTACTGAGAAAGCTTTGGGAATAGTGAGGCCGTGGCTGGGAAATGAGTGACAAAGGCAGTGGAAGAGGAAGACGTCTCTGTGCCAAAGACCCTGCAGCTCATAGCTATCTTTAAGTAAGTTGGTTTTTTTCTGCCCTTAGGAGTACTCAAGTAGCAGCATTTCAGAAGTCATCTTGGTCCGCAGATACTTAGGCAAAAGAATGTAATTACTGCCTGATCTACAGCCAAGCTCAAACAGCATGATCTGGTCAAAGAGACACCTAATTAAGGTAGGTCAGTATTTGAGTGGCTTTCTTGAATTGCTCCTTCCTAAGGGCATGAGAGTAAGTCAACTCATTACCATGCAGTTCTCAATGTTGTTGCTAGATCAAATAAGATGGATAACCACTCTGGAACCTTTGACTTCCAACCCATGTGCCCTAGGTAGTCTGTACAGTACTTGTATAAACTTAGGAAGAAGAAATGCTACTTTTGAAATTATATTGTGTGCCAAAATAATGTATGCCAAAACAAAGAACACTTTCTGTGCATGCATATGCTATTTAGATGGAACACGAGTTTCTCCCTGAAATGCACCCTGTCTAACTAAAACTGTGCTAGAACATGGAAATGTTACTTCTTCTCTCAGTCTTTGTCTACAATCAGCTAACTCATGCTCCTCACAGAGCACAGGATTAAATGCATGTGGAAGAAATGGCTTTGGATAAAATGCAACATACAGTACAAAAGAAACCCCAGAGCCAATCCACCAGCCAGTCTTCAAACAGAGTTCAGATATGTTCTGACTTGCAGTGGGCAAGGACAAAAGGCTTTCAGGCAGCCAGAAGAGTGAAAGTTCTGTATTAAAGCTCATCTCTGGGCTTCCTCTTTGACCTACCCTCCTTGCTTTTAAGGTTTGACCCATTTATAAAGACGAGAACAAACGCATTTATCTTTGTTTACTAAATGATACTCCCACAAATATGAGTCACCAAATGTTATCATCTTCATGGCTGGACTAATAATGACCACAGAGATGAAAAATCTAAGCTAAGTACAAAGGCAAGTCTCCATTTGCTGCTGCACGAGTTGAGAGGCAAACAAGAAATCTGATTTTCAATAATGCATTTCAGCTAAACTGAATTAAGAGACTGAAACTCCATGAACAGTACAGAGAATTCCAGATCTGCTTAGCTTTTCTGGTAAATTTAATCAACCTCTGAAAGTTATGCACTAGAATGAGAATATGTGAATTGTTACTGGTTGCATTGAATCTGAAGAGAACAGTGTTTCCAGTAATTCCACCTGGTTTTTAAGCACTTTTAAGTGAAAAGGGGATTCAGAGATGGTCAAAGTGTCACTGAAATGCTTTTAAAAATCCAAACCCCTTTTTCTCAAATGATGCCACAAGCATAGTGCATTCTGATACAGCAAATGAGGCAAAAATAAGAAGAAAATCCGCATTACTCTGGTAAACTATTTCAGGAAACAATCAGAGTGGAAGGCTTCATAAATAAACTTCAAAAAGGAAAAAAATCTGGCCACAGGTATTTCAGCCACTGTAGAAAATTTGTGTTTATCCCTAGTAAGAGTTTTGTTTACGCCCTGAGGCACATACCTGTACTGTGTTCCAAATCCTGCTCCTCTCCTGACCTTTACACAAACTTAAATATTTAACCTCTGTATTTCTGGAAGCGCTTAGCATCCATTTCAGTATCTAGTCTGTTTTTCCATATAGCCAGTTTGCGTTTTAGAATTTATAAGGCAGGTTACTCCTATTTCACACTTCACAAGCTAAATATACCTCTGGCTTCCCTCATGCACAAATAGAGCACTAGCATATCAGCTACAACACTATCACACATTAAGTGACGTCGACTGTGAGAGTAATTCCCATTCTCAAATCAAACTATGATGTCTTAGCAGATGAAGCTTTGGCTGCGAATCCTCAGATTCTATGTTATCCTCTAATAACTTTACACTCAATATTCTTTAATGAAACAACTTTGTTGCTCAGAAATTAAGCTCTGGAGAGAAAAGAAATTGTAATAGACTATCTGTTACATATCCCTTCTGTGAACTCGCATTCCCTGGGTCAGATGAGAACTCCTCCAGCTGTGCTCCCATGGGATCTCTGTCTCAGTGTTCAGCTCCAGCCCACGGCCTGACAGACAGCCCTGAGCACTCTCTGCAGCACTCCCTGCAGACACTCAGGTGTTCTCCAGGCCTACATGCTCCCGGGATGGCTCACTAATATTTGTATCCTACATGGTGGCAGGATGCCCACAAGGAAGAACTTCTCCCCACCTTTTCAGTTACTTACAATCCTCAAACCAGAAAGTGCTCAGCTGTGCTCACTGTGTTCATTTCTGCTTGTTTTTCCAGCAGTCTCCTATTAAGTTAGATCGATACAAAGGTACACAGGCTCTGACAGTCACCGTAGTTACAGTAACTATGTTAGTGAACGGACTACGTGCAGTCTGCATGTTACTGGCGTGTGCCAGTAGTCCTACATCATACAGGATCTCATCTATCCTGAATACGGTTACGTAATGTGCTGAGTTCATCCATCCATTCTTGATGGCTCTTTAAGGGGAATGCTGACCACGTTAAAAAGAACAGGGTCAGCAGCTACATGGCCTTTTCCAGCCGAGCAGTTACTGTGGGCTGAAACCATGCTGGTCAGCCATATCCTCAGGCTGCACAGTGGCATTTTCCCATCCTGCTCAGCTGAGGGCTTTTTTCTTGTTAGATTTTTTGACCCCACGTAATCTTCATTCTCTCTTTTTTTTATTATTATTATTATTTTTTTTTCCTGGATGCAGTCCACTGATTGCCAAAGATTTTCCTCTCCTGGGCTCATAAAATGTTTGTGAAGAACAACTTTTCTGCATTGTTTATAGAGTAGATTAGACTGTACCCGATAGCACTTCAAAGGCCAAGTTGTCTCCTGATAACCCAGGAAGTTACATCAATATTTGCAGGTAAAGGTTGACCTCGTGTAGGTAAGAGGTGCAATGTACATTTACCAAAGCCTCTAAACACTTATTAAAGAGAATGCAGAAAAAGAATGCAGAAAGAATCTGAAATACTGCATAACACAGAAGCAACACCCAGTTTCAAGCTCTACAGTACAGTTTTCTACAGTGGGATGAAAGGCTGCACAGCAAGCTTATCTTCTTACACCTCCAAGTACAGCTAAAGTAAAGCTAAAGGTGTATACAGCAGAACTAAATCTAACGAACCCCAACTCAAACTGTTGCATTCTTTTTTCTTTCAGCAATCAAAAATGGTGGACTCAAAATTACTGAATGTTATGGCCCTCTCCAGATCTTCTAGGACTTCCACCTCGGCAGAACGTAATCTTCCCCATGCAAAGGTAATCCAGGCACAGACATACCTGGGAACAGCCTCTGAGTCAGACATGATGGCAAACCAAACTCAAAATGGCGGAAAGAGCCCATATGTGTTTACCCACATGCAAACGCACCGGGTTTACAAACAGAACATTCACAGCCTCACAGCTGTTCCGTGCCAAGCTGACAGATACTGAAGAGGTTGAGGGGAAGTCCACCCCCTCCAAAGACACCTGGTAGCACCAACAGAAATGGTTACCGGGAAGGCTGCTCTTAGCAAGAAAGAGACAACATAACTCTTGTTCTGTGCGTGCGGTGACTTCACCAGTAACTGCAGACCTGCTCAACTTCAGCGGCTCTGTTTCCATCTAACACGGCGCTGCACGACACTCAGCTGCCGAGCTCCGACATCGGCACGCTGTGTTCTGTACGCGAGCACCAACCCGCTTCTCAGCGCTCCAGCAGCCAAGGCAGCAGCCAACCTCGCATGGACACCCCTCTGATGCTGTCCATGCACCACCAGCGGGGAAGCAGAAGGTTTGCAGCACAGAGTCCACCCCCACTCCCCCCTCCGCTATTTCGCTTCCTTGACGAAGTTTAAGGTACTCGCGAACTTCTAAAGAAATACACAGGTAAAAGCGACCGTTCCAACTAGAAGTAAGGCGCACAGACGGCGCAGCACCCGCCCCTGCCGGACGGCGGCGTCCCCGCCCGTTACCCGCATCCCTGTGCGGCAGCACCGCACGCGGCGGCCGGGCAGCAGCGCCGCGCACCCGTCCCGCGCTCAGCCCAGCCAGCGGGAAGGTGCAGAAGCCGCTTCCCTGCGCCCGGCCCCGCCCCGGGACGGCAGGCTCGGCCCGGTTCTTGCTCTCGGCCGCCGCAGACCGCCCGAACCTCCCGCGGCGCGCGGCTCCAGGCACACGCCGCGCGAGGCTCCCGCGCCCGAGGAGCGCGGCGCTCACCGGCGGCCGCTCTGCCCGCGCGCCCGTCAGCCGCCGCGGAGCCGTTAGGCCCTGAGGAGCGGCGCGCGCCGCCGGTACCCACCCTGAGCGCGGCGAGGCGGGAGCCGTCCGCGGCCGCCAGTGGCAGGGGCCGCGCGGGCGCTCCCCGGGCACCGCTCTGCAGCCGCCCTGCCCTCGCCTCCTCCCCCGCAGGCGGCGGCACCCGCCCGCGGCACCCCGCAGTCGGTCAGCCGCTGGGACGCTTCCAGCGAATGGCGCGGAGCGAGCGTCTGCGCGTTTCTGGAGCGCGGAGCTGGCAGAGCGGCTCTGGCACAGGAGCTCGCGCCGGCCCTGCGACGGGAGGGTGAAGAGAAAGAAGATTCCGCTGTGGAAAAAACCCGCGCTGGGACCTCCGCGAGTTGTGCTGTCACGGCTAATGGGGCACGGCGAAATGAGTCAGCGCCGTAGTGGGAAAAGTGTACACAAATCAAATGGGAGAATCAGCCGTAAGGCTCAGTGGCGGTTAACGCCGTTAACTAAAAATCGGCCCTAAAAACACGCGTGCTGATGGGAGATCCGCTATAGCAAGCTCCCGTTGAGGGACAGGCACGTGTGTCACCCCTCTGCCACCACTGCCTCTCCTTCTCCCCCTCATCAGACACGAATGTTTCCAAGGCACTTCTGTTTTCCATACAGTGCAGGGCAAAGTTCTGCTTTTAGAAGTGCTTCGAAGCAGAGACGTCCCCTCGCAAAGACTGAGCCCGTGGCTTTTAGGATGGTTATTCAGGAAAAGGAAACGCGGCAGGAGAAAGGCAAGCAGGGCAAAATGCCTTTCTGGACGTATGTATGTACAAACATGGCCCTACCTTCACCGGGGTCCCAGAAAATTGGGTAGCTTATGGAAGAGTTGCTCCTTTCAGACGCAATAGCATCACCATCAGCCTACCGAAGGTTCTGTTTACCGTATCAGTGATTTACATGCTCTGAAACAAAGCAATTACTAGGCGGTTCAGATAATCAGAGTCGTCACTAACGCGTGCAATATGTTCACTGCAGGCGTTATTCAGGTGTGTTAAAAACAGGATTTTAGAATTTCATGGGGAAAAGTGAGCAAGCTTAGTTTCGCCTGGCTCTCTGCTAGGTAGCCCAGCAAAGTGCAAGAGTGCAGTCAGACCAAGCAGCCACACTTCTTGATCCTCTTTCAGTAGCGACCCACCTGAGTTGTGAAATACACAGCACAGCCCGTTGTGGAACGCAGGTGTAAAGCCAGTGGCTTTCTGATCCCACCCAGAGCAAGCACCCGGTAAGTAACTGCCACATCTCATTAGCACAGAGGGCATTTGTCAGCAGTTTCATCTCACTACAGCGTCAAAGAAGATGCTCTCAGTACATCTAGAAGCTCAAAAACACATAGTGGATTTTACAAGATTTTTTTTTTAAGGCAAGCAACAGCTTTAAAATAGTCTTGTGTAATTGTGGTAGAGTAACGGGATGTTGCAACTTGTTTTCATATGTGAGAAAAAGAAAACGCCAACACAAAAAGCGTAAAGAAAACTAGTACTTTTGGGACTCCATTATGAGCTTTTAGGGAGAATTAGCTTACATTATCTGGGCATTTCTTGGCAGCAGAGGTCGGGTTGTCTGTAGTTTTTTGGATTAGCCCTACAATTGCCACATGAAGGTGAACTACATTTGCAAGTTGAAACCATGTGGTTTCTTAGCCCCCTACTCTGCTTTCTGCAGACTTCCACAGACTCTTGCTCAGTATTCAGGGACAGACACTTCATTGGGCCTGTCTTCAGAAATAGAGTTTCAGGGTTTCAGTGCAAAGAAGATCCTTAACCTTGTATTTCAGGCTTCAAGTTAAAAGTTTTTCCACTTTCTTTAAATTACCATTTTATTTACTTAGAGAATCCCTCTTTTTCCCCTGCAGGATATTTTATACTGTTTGATTTACTTCATATGTGCTTGTAGGTTGCTCCAAAAATAATGCTTCCTATTTATTTCCATGGAAAAGACAAAGAGCAAAGTAACACTATTTAATAGAGCAAATTCTCACCTGCAAAACACTTTTTCAAAATAGTTACCACTGATGGCTATGCATTTTCACCAGCAACAAACAGGAGTGCTTCATTTTGTGGTGTGGCCATCCAGAATGTGGTTTACCACACAAGTCACTGCCCCCACTGATGAAACACACCACCCACTGCCTCCCTGTACTAACATCCACACTTTGGTCTCCATTGACATTCAACAAGTGCCTTGGGTACCATTAATACCACATGGAGAAATTACATGCCACACCTTTGTTTCATACTCTCCTGTATGTGAGACATCATTTTGTCAGATTGCCCCTCTGCTGCTGTCTGTCACAGAGAAACAAGTGACAGAATATTGGTGGGAAGGTTCAACCTCCACTGTGCCATACCCACAACATCAGCCTCAGACCAAAATAATAAAATAGGATGCACTACTTTTGGAGCAGCCTGTTTTCTACAGGACTTCTTTCATTCCTTCTATTTCTTATAGTGGGTTTGGGACAATATCTAGGTTCCCTTTCACCACTACAAACGAAAATATAACTAACTAGTACATGGCCTTCCCTTTCTCATTACACGCATCAGTGCAATCAGTGACAGAGGTTCACCACAAAACCTCACTTCCAAACTTATACCCCACCTCGTGCAGTTTCACAGCAACATGATGTAGCCCACAAACAGAACTTTCCTCCTTCAAGAACCTTAAAACGTTAAAGACCTGACAACAAGCAGAACAGGAACTAGAGAGAAGTGAGCAGATAATCTCTCAAAAAGAGGTAAAATTAGGCCAAAAACATGGTTCTAGCCATCTCCATTTGATACAAAGGTCTGTTTATTACCCAACAGTGTGACAGTGTATACAAAGACAGTGTGGAATGTGAAATTTACAGGAGTTTTCAGTACATCATGCACATATACTATTGCAATGGTATTTCAATAGTTCCAGAATGTTAAGCTGAATAAATATTCCTCAGTTCAAAAAAATCTTTGACTTATACATAAAAATATATAATATTGCACTTTTTACAAGGCCAGCAATTTTGCATATTGATTTGTAACAAGTGGAATTCTACCTTATAAAAATAAGCCTTTGTGAGCAACATCCCAATTGAAGGAGGACAAAAGCATCCCCAAACCATCACGTTTGTATTTTGTCGCTTAAGTAAAGCGCATCACTTCAACATGAGCCAAGAAGCTTTT